ATTAAAGGCCACGTGACCTGTGGGATTGGAACTTGGGTTGCTTTAATGTTGTGGTGTTTTCAGTCGCAAAAGTATGACATTTTGCCAGCAACGGACATGTGTCCCCCTACATGCACCGCTCAAATCGAATTGACGATCAGGACTACCAAGAATCCCGATTTAGCCGACTCGGCCGACTCGCCAAGTCGGCATCTCCTTAGGTCGACTCGAAAGACGATACTTATCGGTCCTCTTGTAGAAGACGACTCGCTATGAGCCCATTCAACCAGTTATTCAACACCTTGCAGGGTCGACTCAAAATGCGTTACTTCTCGATACCCCTCACTACAACCCAAATGACGACTTCAACATCGAACCTCCCCGCTGATAGCGCGTCGGCATCACATTAAATGCTTGGCAGACGCCATCATTTCTCTATCCCCTGTACTATTTATAACACATCGGACCATGCCGGCTTCGTGCGCCGCCTATCACGTCTCATTAATGACGAAATAACAGCGCCCTTCACGCAGTCGATCCACGATCGACACCTGTAAAATAGATGTTGACTCAGTAGCTAGCTTAGGTTCGGCCAAAAAGACTAGACTACCCCTCTTACTTGGCTATAAAAAGAAAAATTATTCCAAATACAAGGGGAAGCAATCTCTCAGAATTCTTCTCCACTCCACTACACTTAAGAACTCACACAGTTCATCACTTTCCCACTCAAGTCCATCACTGACTTGATCGTCAAAGGAACAACGGGGGAACTAGTCCCCATCCTCTTACGAGTTGCTATTTGTGCAGGAAGAAGCTGCTCAACTCAAAACCAAATATTCGGAGAAGTTAAGCGGTCCCTAATCAACCTCACCCCCATTACATTATATGTGTGATTTAAACCACCAACATCTGATACCATATTAAATGACACTTTTCTCATCAAAAGACTGGGAACGAGTATTTCAAGTATTTAGGAAAAGGAAATTCCGAAATTATATCCCATATAGACAATTATTTATGCATATCCTATTATATCTTTATTTACATTTGAAAATCATTTAGGAAACATAAAAAACATTAGCATGTGGACCAGTGAGATCCAATAAAATCTTTAGGAACTTATAAATTAATGGTTTCCTATACATTCCTGAGTTATTTATTAGTTAGTGAAGTCAAGGTTTCATAAAGTGCATTTGAAGCTATTATGAATCATAAATTCAATAAACCAAACATAATTTAAGTAGTAGTTATTCAAAATGGCAACAATGTCAAAAGCTATGAACATCATGATAGAAAGTATTTGATATTTCCCGAGTATGTTAGCTAGCTTTTTAAAATTTTGAATATGCGAAAAGTTGTCAAGTATGGAAGTACTTATTTATTTGATATTTATAGGACACTGGTGTTGTGCCTTCGTTGAAGTACCGACACTTCATAGTTTATGCAGTTATTCTAGTTATATAGATAGTATTTTTTCTTCATATTTATTTAATGAAGGCTGAAACATGCTTACTCGACTAAAGATACTGTTGAACTTTAAACTTTGAAAAGGTAATACCAGTGAAGGTTACCAAGGTTTGCTGATGTAGCAAGGATGTTTTCATCTTTGTTGTTCTCTTGTGTCAGATGACCAAGGTGCCTATCCACCAATAACTTTGACTAGATAACAATTGAAGTTTCTCTCCAAACATTCCACCCCAGATTTGTAGCCAAATTGTATTAGTAATTTCTTGAGTTGATGAAATATACAACCTTTTCCAAGTAAAACCTGAAATATAAGCCTTTGTATACAAGTTACATTTGTTAAGGGAAAAACCGAAGTTTCTTAAGATACATGGAATGGGTCCATGGAGCAGTGCGGACTCACAGTCCAAAATGAGTTTTTTTTAATTGATAAAATGGGATCAGTAGGTTGGAGAGCAAGCTTTTTTCCAATCATGTTTGTGTATACTGGGAAAAAATAACAACTCACTGCAAGTGTGCTTGAATGACTTGCTTATATAAAATATGGAACTGCTATCCAATGGATTCTTGATCTCACCAAGCATTGCATCATGAATATTTCCTCTCTTGCTGAGTTTCAGATATTTACCCAGTACAAACTGCAGTTATTTTGTCTTGTCAAGGTTGATATATTCTTCATTTTGACAAGATTAAATGACTGCTAATAGCCTAATAGTTGTACTAGATAACTATCTGTAATTCAGCTAGAGTTGCATGCTTTATCATGCGCTAGGTGAAATCAATAATCCTGTTGGACCTCAGTTCTCTAATTTATATAAGCAAGTCATACAAAGCAAATCTGCTGTTAGATGTTATTTTGCTCTAACATAAACGAACATGATTTAAAAAAAAACTTACTCCCCAATCCAGTGCCCTTTCAATCAATTTAAAAATCATTTGTATAGAGTCTCAGTCCCCTCCATGAACCCTTTCCAGATACCTTTAGAAACCTTGGTTTTTTCCTTAAAAATTTAGCTCATATACAAAGGCTTATATTTCAGGTTTTAGTTGTAAAAGGTTGTATTTTCAGGTTTTAGAGGGAAAAGGTTGTATATGCAAATATTATATTGATTTTATAATAATTTGGTGATGAATATGAAATTTTGTTTAATTTTCTTGGTTGCATAAGGTACTTTCTTCTTCCCATGCATAGTGGGTTGTCACATATACAGTTAGTAACCATCATATTTTCTAATGTGATCTGTCTGCTTGTCAGGTTATTACCAGACCGCAAGTTGAAATGCCTCATCCAACGGCCCTTGGATAGTTTGCAAGAAACAAAAGACGGTTTCTCTCTTTTATTATTTTGGCACTGGGAGGAACTCTTGAAGCAAAGGTTCCTTAGCTGATTCAACTTCCAAAATCTTTGCTACATAGTCTACCTTTGAGATGAATCATTTGATTTGTTTACTTGCTGTACTTTTGAAAATGATGATGTGTTCATTTGCTAGAAAAATTTAAGAATCTACCTATTGTTCTTCTAATATATTGTGCGATTCTCTCCTCGATGGTAGTCAAACTAATTTTGCAATTTCTATTCATGTCAACCAGGACTTTATGCTGTTCATATGCCTTCTTTTTTTGTTGGCAGAGAACATAGTCTCCACATGCACATATTACAACACATGCTAGAATGCATTACTTTCCATGTATGGTCATTTTTTTATGATTCTTGAGATTGTGGTCCCATGTCATCTTTTCTCCGACTTAATCTGTGGAAACATTGTATGGTGTGACAATATGAAAAGATAAATTTCTGAAAGAGAGCTTGTATGAAATGCTTAAGATGAAATAAGATAACTTGTAATTGCTATCCAGAAGATGTAGTATCAGTTTCTGTCAAAAGTAATTTTAATTCATTCTCCGTCACTGATATTCATATGTACTTGCTCAAAAAGTTATCCATGTTAAAACTGTTCTTGTTTAATCTCCTTGATGCCTTAACAAATGTGTGTTACAGATATGAACGTTTTGTTGTTGCTCTTGAGGAGGCGTTGAAGGATATGTTACCTAATCTTAAAGACAAAGCAATGAAGGTTCTCCTTGCCTCTTTCCTTTTGTTTCATGCGTTCAAAATAAGATTTATCTATTTCTACTGAAAATTTTGTAAACTTGTCATGAAAACTGTGTTTGCTTCAAAGTCTTGCTTGTTTCAAGAAGCTTATTTTCAAGAACATGCAAAACTTGGCGGAAACTGACTTCAAATGATCGCAATCTTCTGTTCTCATATATCTTTGCTGCAAGAACCTCATTGTGCAATCACATCTCCATGCTATGAAATATTTATGAGAAATGAATTACATGATTTGATATCTTTTACTCAATTTCTATTATTGAAACTTAGAAACACTTCTCATTTCAAAAAGAAGAAACTGTTCTTTTGAGGAGATCCTGAATTCGTTAATTTCTTTTCACTGACATTTTTAGGACATTGAAATCACAAAACATGTACAGATCAATCTTGGGTTGCATGCTATGTGCGTTTATCTTCTCATTTTAGACCACGTATTGACAGTGTTAATAAGCTATTAATTTTCTGTGTGTATATATGCATATGCTCTGTATTTATATGTAAGCATGTGTATATGCAATACTTGGACATGCAATACCAGTCTCCTGTGTCCAGGTAGCAACAACAAGCGTGTAAACTGCTTTTCCTCATTTCTTTGCTCGAGTTCAGGAGGATGTTGATTGTTTAACTTTCTCTTTTTACATGATTGGAGATTTTCATCACTGTTTGTATAAATTTGGCGGTTCAAGATCTGTAATGTGGATAAGGAACAATATCAGAATGGCAGCATTCACATTTCCTGTAGCTGTCATGGTAATATCATGCAGCTGTCATGATAATTGGACTCTGGGTTTATATTTTCAATTAAATTAATGAAATTGGTGGCCTAGTGCACGAGGCTCCGCTCCCACTGTTGTGGGCTCTGGGGAGGGTCAGATGTACACAACCTTACATGCAGAGAGGCTGTTTCCGAGATACGAACCCGTGATCGTCAGGTCAAAAGGCAGTAACCTTACCATTGCGCCAAAGCTCACCCTCAATTAGATTATTGAGATGACCTTGGTATATTTACCAAATTTCATTGGCTTGTTCTGGAAACATTTGGTATCTGATGGGTGTTGGATCAATATTCTTGCTCATTGTAAATGCTATCTTTTGTTGGAGTTCCTTTGAATTGCTATTGAATAACAGTTCTGATTCAGATATCAAGATTTATTAAGTGACCCCAGACCATTGAGCTGTACAGGTGGATGAGAATAGTAACGACTTAGATCATATTAAGATTATTTTATAATCGCCTTCCCGACATGGATGTAGCAAGCATATTTATTTTATTCATCAAACATTATACTTTGAAGTTGAAGGGTAGTCAGTTGTCACAAATAGCCAGGAGAGTAGTTATTTATGGACAGTGATGAAAAGCGACAAGCATCATAGAGACCCATGTAGTGTACTAATTGCATTGTTTTGTTCTGTCTTAGAGAATGAAATCTTATTGTGTTCATACTTTTTTTTCTCTGTTGAAAGTTAAATGTACTTACTGATGATAATAATTTTCTCATTCCTTCGATTGTTTGCTGCAGACAGTTTACATCCTTTTGAAAAGTAAATCAGAGCAAGAACGTAGATTGCTTTCTGCTCTTGTGAACAAAGTAAGTGGTTCTTCTGTTTTTGCAGCTCGTTGACGAGCAAGCATTGTTTCTTGTATGTTTTGTTGCCCTGTATGGCTTTTTACTTCGAATAGATTTAATGTTTCCTTAGCATTTTACTTCGTTCAGAGAGGAGGATCTAATTCACTCCTTCTAGAAGTTTGAGTTTGGGTCCTGCAAGTTAGTGCAAAAAATTGAATTAGTTTTTTTATCACATAGCTAGGAGATCCAGAGAGGAAAGCGGCTTCTGGTGCTGGATATCAGTTGTCATGTCTGTTATCTGCACATCCAAATATGAAGGTAATTTCCCAGTGGTACGCTCTGTTGCTTTATTTTTATTTACTTGGTTAATTTTTTACCTGAATCCTTGTGTCATTTACCCATTGTTAGACATTTGGTATAATCTTTGTCATTCTGATATCGATTTATATGTCTACCAATCTTTCATAACCGCAAGAGCTGCCTAACCTGGGATAAACATTATAATAGGCCTGAAAGCTTCTTTGAAGGGGCCTATTAATTAAATTTTGGCATTTTTGCATCTATACCCCTCAAATCATCCATATCTGCAAATTTACCCTTCACTTCTTCAACATTGTAATTATTACTCTCACCCGTTTGGTTAGGGAATATTCCCTAAAGTTCTGTTAGATTAGTTACAAACTATTAATAATGACTTATATCAATATGCCCTTTCTTAGTCAATTTAGTTCCAGTAGAACCAACATTTCTCCATACCATCATCTAATCCTTTACCTAATATCTCCTCTTCCTCGCTGTTTCTTCTATTCTAATTTGTCTCCCTTCTATAGCAGCAAAGCTAGCTAGCACAGATGGTACAATGGTTTCGAGCACTTCCAAATCCTAACTTCGTGCTAACAAATAATATTCATAAAAAATTAACAAGTGGATTTCACTCTGATCCTTCATGTTAACCCAAAAGATTAACCCATCATCACGGAATTCAAAATTCCAACTCCAAACTCTGTGAACGATAAAAACTCAAAGATAGCCATCTCACTTCTCAACCCAAATTCACAGGCAACCATTCTAGTTCTAGAGAAGGGGGGGGGGGGGGGGGGGGG